GACTTATCGAATTTTTTTAAATAGTAAAAAAAAGGGGCGGAAAATTTTGGCCGAGTTAGGCCAAAACCGACTTATCGCGTGACCGACTTATCGAGTTTACATGTGTATAAGGACTTTCTAAGAGAATCTGCTGCTTTATCATGACAAAGTCATGGAAGCAAATGATCTACTTGACAAATCTAAGGTTGAGTAAAAATTTTGCTTTTGCAGTATTGCAACAGAGCAATAGGTGTTACCCAGCTGCAGCTATGAAGGCATTCCTATTAGGATACCTTTTTATGATCTATTAGATTGCTGTGGGCTGTTGGTCTCGTGCTAATGGTTAGGGAACAATAATTGTCTTGTGACTAGGTAAGAGGCTAATAGCTAACCTGCTGAGTGGCCTATTAGGTTGTCATGGATTTGTTGCGATACTGCTTTCTAGGCATAAACTGTTCTAATGATTTTTTGTTGTCATTATTCAAAGAAAAAGCAAAGAGCAGGAAGTGCTATTGACAAACTTTGGAGTCCAACTGAGGCAATGAATATTGTGGCCAATATTCAGGTAGATTAATCTGATTAAAAAAATTTTTTTTCTGTATCCTAACACCATTTGTTACTAATTAGGAAGCAGGACTCATTGAGAATATAAAGCAAAATCAGGCATACCCCAGAACATTGAATGAAGCTAGTTGCTTAAGCCTTGTAGCTCACATTGAGAAACGAAATCATGTGGAATTAGCAACTGATATAGCCAAAAAACAAAAGACTGATGAAAAACTGAAGAGATTAATTCTACTGAAGAATCAGATGATTATTGAGGCTGGTGATTAAAAATACATTTTTTTCATTTATGGACAGTTTTCCTATTTTCCAATTATAAATTTTTTTTTTAGATTAAAATTGAGGGAATTGTTTTTAAAGAAATATCAATCAACAAGAATCTCAAGGTTATTATTGAAAGTTTTGAAAACTATAAGAAGAACAATAAGCAATTGCTAATATAATGGATCTGACACCAAAAGGCTCATTTATAAGAACATTGCCTAAAGATGTGTACAAAGAATATCTTTTATCATTAGAATATTTGGATAATATTATTCCCAATGAAACACATGATTTTTTAGTAGAATTTTTTGAGCAGGTAAGGGTCATGATATTTATAATGAATGTTTACTTGACTTGCATGTACTCTGTTAATATTATGCTTTTGTTTGTCAACAAGGACTTGACATATCGACAATGGCTAAACATTTTAGATGACTTGAATATCAAAAGTTTTGACAAAATAACTCAAATGGTGATAAGGATTATAAAAAAAGCCTTTATAGTTTGTTTTTTATTCTTGTGTTTTGGGAGAAGATGATTACCAATGAACATTACTAATGAAATCTATTTTGCTTTTTTAGTTTACAGGATTTTTCTCTTGGACATTCCAACCCACTTCAAAATATACAGACTTTAGAGCAATGTCATTTAAATGATTTTGTACATCCATGCCTGAAAGCTGCTTTGATGTACTGTGCTGACATTTATTACACATTGTAAATAATCTCCTCTGTTACTCTTGTATTTATGGCAATTCTGAATATTATTCATTCTATGGATCTAATTATTATTACCAAATCTTGTTAGTGGTGAAGTAACTTCAATTCATAATACCAATAGACAAAGAGGTGATGGAATTGGATTCACAAATGATGTCAACAAGTATCAACTAGTATATATTGAAGGGAGTTGCCCATATAATGTCAAAGAAAAGAAAGAAATAGGTGATTGTGTGAAGGTTGCAAAAAATTTGAAAAAGATGTTTTTTGATGTCATAAAAAATAGGATAGGAAAACGAAAGATGATGATACCAGAATTTCAAGTCTTTGGGGTAAATAGTTATAAACTTGAGATACATCTATATGTGCTTCAATTTACTGGTATATATCTTTCCTTTTTTTATACAATCACACACAATTGAAGATGATAATTAAAATTGAAATATTATTATATGTATAAATAGGATGTTATCACCTTGTTGAAATTGAAAATGCAACTGTTCCTTGGGATTTTTCTGAAATCGAAGACTTTGTCTACTTTTACAAAGCAATAATTAAATGGGCAGTAAGTATTTCTTTTTAATATTAATATTTGCACAATTCAACATGACTCTTAACTGATTATAACAGCTGTTGGTAAATTCATGTTTAATAGAACTTTCAGACAAAGCGTTAAAAAAACGATCTTCACGGGTTTCATATGGAATGAATCAACTTCCTTAGATGATTTTTCACAAAAATGAGAAAAAAAATATTTTTAAAATTATATCATTATTTTATTCGTAATATCTTATCTTCCGATCTATCATTGCAAATAATAATAAATTAATTAAATATATAAATAATTGAAAATCCACAAGTTTGAATTTTTAATTGGATGAAGTTTAATAAAGAAAAAATTTCCCTAAAAATAAAAAATGGCCCATATCTGTTTTAATGTTATCAACTCTATTTATTATATTTAAAAAATATAATAGTTTATACAACAGTTGATTTAAAATGAACAGACATAATGTTTTTGAATGATATAATTATATAAATAAATTATTAAATCATCAATTATTTAAATTTTTTTAAATATATTGCTGCTATTACTGAGAAATCATGTCCAAATCTCAAAGATGATGATTTATTTAAAGAGTCAATAATGTTAATACAATAATACAATCACAATTTATTTATACTAAATTGTAACAACAATTTCCATGTATGGTTGCTTGCTAAAACTTCCCCAGAAATCAATTGGCAGAGTTTCGCATTTGGAAGTTTTGGCAATTAGCAAGGTACACACACACACTAATTGTTTATCAGGGTTTCGGCAGTCATTAAGAGGTTTTGGCAAACAACCTTATATGTGTTTATTTATATATACCCATATTATAAACACTTTACCTGTCATTTTATTATTGAACACATTGTAAGGGTCCCTTTTTCCTTTTTTTTTTAATTCTGTTATCTCATTTTGTAAATTTTGTAACTCTTCAATCAAATCTGGAATAAAAGAATTATTATAATCAGTTTCGATATTTTCTGACTTATGTGTTTTAAATGACTTGTCATATTGTATTATTTATATGTAAATAGTAATAACCTTCCTTCTCAGCCTTTAATTTAGCAGTATCAGCAATCCTTCTAAAATTAGACTTCTCAACAATGTTAATTTCAATCATTTTATGTCTTCTTCAATAATGAATAAATTAAATATAGTATAGAGTTTGAATGACTATAGATATCTCTGTGATCATTTGACAATTGGTGTAAAACTAATAGAAGAACATTATATGAATTGAATAAACTTCTATTCATGTGGCTGATTTGAGTACTTTAAACAATATATTGATAAGGAAAAAATTTATAATCCTGTAGTTGTCAGATTTTATAGTGGGACAATTTCGATGAACATGAACTCTACCCTTAAACGGAAAATTAATTTTCGAGGAAGCTATATATATAACAATTCCTTATGTATTCTTATGTAAATATCAAATAATAAAATTTTAAATATATGTATTTAATACAATAACAACAATTATTATTATAATATATATAAGATGATAATACAAAAAAATAATAAATAATATGCAATTATAATAATCTTACTGATGATTTTTACTGAAACCATGATTTAACACTTTCTAAAATTTCAGAAATGTTCCATATGTTCCTTACTTTTTCAAAAGCAAAAGGTATCCAAAATTTAAGATTTTCACTTATATATAGAAAAGTCTCTTGTGTTAAATT